CCTCTTCGAACAAAACGGCAATTATGCCGCGTTTCTGCTCCCAAAACGAGGGGGAAAATATATTTGAAGCGCTTAGATTTGGACAGTGGGTGGCAGGAGTGCACTGTGGCACTGTGGGCACTGGATTGCTTTGGCTCGGATTGATTGGAGTCCGGCCTGAGGAGCAGATGGCGGGGTGTGGGTGGGAGGGGCCTGCTTTGTCCCGTTGATTTACAGGGCAACACAAAACGATGAATCGATGATTCCAGCATGAGAAATTAGATCGAGGCGGCAGCACACTCATCATCAGCAGCCACGTTTGCCAGCCCCCCCCCCCCCCCCCCCCCCCCCCCCCCCCCCCCAAGCCCCAACAACGACAAACAAATCACTGGAGGAGCCACCGAAATGGTTGGGGTTTCTTTGGATACACTTTTCGGCCAGCCGCCAAGCCCGTGAATATGGAAAGACAAGGCCCAAATGGTGGCTCGATACCTACCAGATCGAAACCTATATATCCCCTATAATACAGCCTAGGCCCTGCCCGAAAGTAGGAGGACCCCTTGAAAGGGTATCAAAAGCAGCATCCACCGAGCAGTGGGATTGAAATTTTGAAAATTGCTGCTGGGATTGCGGGATTGTTGCTTGTATGGTCTCCTCTCCATCTCTCTCCCTCTCTCCCTCTCTCTATCTCCCTCTGTATCGAGCGTATAAACTGTTGTAATTTTCTACTTTGGTCTCTGGTCTGCGCTGGCAAAAATTGGTTGGAAAGTTGACTCGCTTTTCAGTGTTTTTCATGTAATCACATGGCCATTCCTCACACCCCCTCCCCTACCCCCACCCCGTCCCCCTGCCGATGGGGGTAAGCAGCCAAGCAGTAAATCGCGCCAACATCCCGCTTAGAATTCCCAACTCGCCTCGACTCTGTGTGTCTCTCTCGCAGATTACTCGCCGGTTCGCCGGTCCACGCCCATGGGGCAGTGCCGCTTTGCCCCGATTAATGCTTCATCATTTGCAACGTCAATCGGCACGGAAAATTATCCAACAAGGCGTTGCCAGAGTTCCATCCAATCGATTGTCCAGCGGGCCGTCCCCCAGTCTCATTTGTTGTAATGGCAGCCAGGAGGGCCCCCGCGAGGATGCTGATCATATTTTAGTGCCCCCTGGAATGATTTTCCAGGGGATCTGTAAGGCAAGTGATCCAACGAGAGGGGTTTTTGTGAATTAAATTATATTTAAAGGGTTTTTCAGTTGAGGAAAGCAGGAGTTGAGCGCCTTCTTGGGGAGAGCCTGCCAAAATCCAACCTGAAAAGGTCCTGGACGAGGGAAATCTATGGCCGTTAGTCTTCTTCAAGTGTAGATTGACTGATGGAACACAACCCTAAGCTTCGTTTTAGATACATTCCTTTAAAAAGACAATCCAAGGTCCAAATCTGTGAAGGACCCCCAAAATATGGTTCTATCGGAAAGTCCACGCCTCCCTTATCTCTCCCTTGGCACTGGCAGCCCTGCTCTTGGGCTTATCCCAGGCTTACCATCTTGTCTGCCCAAAAGTGTGCCGAGGAACCGCAAATAAGCCGCAAAAATATCGACAAATAACGCCCAGACATAAGCAAAGAGATACATAGATACACAGACGGGCCAATTAATCGGGCACTACAATATTATGACGGTGTCGATGGCCCAGAGACGGACACACCCAAAGGCCGCACGCACGCACGTGACCAGAGGAGAGCCGAGGCCTGCCCCATCAGAAGCCGCTGGCTGTCAACTAATCCTGTGCATAATGTTGCCTAAATGCGAGCGCATGTCAAATGCCAAGACACGAGGCGGTCGAGGGGCCCGGGCAGCGGCCAGGTCTAGGCCAGCTTCAAGCCCAGCTTTAAGCCCAGCTTCAATCGCGGACGGCAGAGCCTCTCCTCCGAATCTGCCGACGTCAAAATGCTCCGTCTTCGACTCCGACTGTGGCGACTCTGGCTCTGGCGGCGGCTCAAACGGTGGGGCCGCCGCCATTGTGTGTCCGGGGACCCAAATGATGTGCCAAAGTGACACTTGCCGATACACAGATACGGCTACTCAAACACCATTAAGGCGGGTGTTGCACGAGGCACGGACGTACGTACGTACGGCACGGGTTTCGGCTAGTTGTTGTTGCTTTTATTTGATTTTATTTTGTGTGACAATTTCAGCTGCGGCATCAGCAGGAAATAATAAAAATGCAAACAAATCGTCAGATTTTTCCTATACAAGTGGCTTTTCCCCCCATTCCCCCATCTTTTCCCTCCCCAGGGGGGGTGTTGGGTGTTTGCATAAGTGTTTGTGTTGCTGCTGTTATGGCCTTTGTTGTTGGCTGTAGGTGTTGCTTAGTTGCACCATGGGGCAGGCAGGGCTCGCTAAGGCATAGATTTTGTACTTTGTTGGGGATTTTCGAAGGAATTTCCAGGGAAACTAATGGCAATGCCAGGCCTTTGGGGAGGTGTGAAAATTTTAGTGCCTTTTAAAAAGATTTTCAAAGAATTTATTCCATTAAATCGCATACATTTTGTACATATTTTTAATTATTTGGCTATTTTCTATACAAAAAAAGGAATCACAGCGGCCTTGAAGCATCACAAAATATTTTGGAGTCCCCTACCAAGGGGTTTATCCTCGAAAAAACCCCCCAAAAATGTAACATGTCTCACATACAACAAATTTCATTAATTTCTGAATTAATAAAAAGTATTCCAATTTTGTTTTAAATAAAAAACCCAGGCGGCATTCATGAAATAAAATAAATTAGATTTGTAAAATGTTTTTTAAGGCCGCCCTTCAATTCCATATAAATTGCAATCAATTGATGCGAAATCGAAACTGAAGCGGAAACAATCGAAAAACAAGTCGGGAAGCTTCAATTAATTATCTCCAGTCCATGTAAATCCTGTTCTCCATTTATGCCCAGGCCGAAGGGCATGGCGCCCACTGTGCCGCCGAGGATGATGACGTTGTTGGGGTCCGACACGATACCAGAGAGGCTGAAGACGACGATGAAACCGAGAATCGAGAATCGAGAAGCCCCGGCAATTTGTGCAATTTTTCTTGTTTAGATTGTTTTCGGTGTTGGTGTTTGTTTGTTTGTTTGTTTGCTGTGGGTTTTATGCCTGCGATAAGCCCAAACAGTGCCCATAACCATTCTCATATTATTTGTAAGGATTTTTGCATTTATTGGCAGCGTGTTTCAAGGATTTCGTAGCCCAATCCCAGCCCCAATATGGCTGCAGTAGTTATCTTAATAGTTATCAGACGATTGGGTTGTTCTGCAGTTTGTGCGTGGAGCGGCGGCAGTAAAATTTAACGGGGGATCGGAGGGGAATGGGGAGACGTTTGCCCTATCGTGCTGTAAATCCATTAAATTGCCCCAAATTAAACTAAACAGAACTAAAGGGTGGCGAAGGGGGCAAAGGAGGGGCGGGCTTGTGTGACAAAATTGTAAATAAACTGCAGGAATGCTGGCGGGGCCCGAAACAGGGATCGTGAGACACCCAGCCATAACTCAATTCAGCTCGGCTCAACCCTTGGCGCAGGGGTTGTTCCTTGGGCCCAGGGATCCGTCCTGGAAGGTGCTGACAGACCTGGGGGCTACCTACAGCGAAGGCACCGCATCGAGGCGCCGATGGATGCACTCCGCCGTGTGTGTGTGCTCGATGACAGCTCGTCAGTTGGCAATCGGTGGCCAGTCATCGAGCTGGCATATTAGCCGTGTTAATTACTCACCAAAGGCATAGCTGTGTCATGTTTGGGGCAGATGTTTTCAGCAAGAAACAGCCAGGGAATCCTGCAGCTAGAGAGGCTTTCAAAGAAGGGATTGTAGGGGCTTCAGAGCCCAGGAAATGGGTCTGTCTGCCTACGAAACGCTGTACCAATGGCTATGTCAGGTAGCCCCTTCCCTCCCCTTAGAGAGAGCGCCCCCCCCCTTGAAAGGCCACTAATCAAAGCCGAGATCCATTCCATTGTTTTATGGTCGATGTCAACATGTAAATGAAATTTTCAAATCGAAACCAGTTCAAGCATCCATCACGCGGTCAGAACGAGAAGGGGAGAAGGGGCGAAGGCCGGGAGGGGGGGAGGGGAACACTCAGAACCCAGCGGGTGTCCGTCATTAAAAAGATGACAAAGCATTGTCAACGAGAAATTTTTTGATTAACGACTAAAATGCCAGAGAGCCAAGTCGAAACCGAGATGGAGACGAAGACGGAGACCGGGATGGAGGCCGGGATGGGGATCGAATGGAGTTAACCAGAAAAAAAAGAGAAAAAAAAAACCCCATCGAAAGCAGGCAGCGAAAAAATTTGTTGTGTTGAAGGTAAAATATCAATTTAAAAGGCAATAAAAATATTTCATTGCCCGATCGGGATCGGGGCATCGCTCCATTATAGATCAGGTCTCTTCGTGGGTCTCTTCGTGGGTCGCTGGGAGACTGTCGATATGCCGTTTCGATTTCGAATTAAAAGATTACGATGATAATAAACTTGACTAATCATTTTTATTACAAACCGGAGAGACCATCTGGTTTTTTCCCAGAACCCCGCCCGATCGCGATAGGGCCCGGGCCATGGGGAAACCCGTGAAAGAAAACAAACGGATTTCATAATTTTTCATAACTTAAATACATTGTACATACATATATATGTATATATTTATTCGTTCACGTTTATTCTTTTCACTTTTTCTCAATCGATTTTACTTGGATTTTTGTGGTTTTTTAATAAATTATGAGACTATGCTTACGAACAGATTGTGAGATACATTTGTATCTGTGTATAAGTTAGGGGTGTGTACTTATATCTAGGGTGGGGTGGGGGGGGGAGGGTGATTTTGTGTCTCGTCTAACGACTAAATTAACCTTGAATCTTAGATACAGTATATTGTATCTTTTGTGGTTCTGTGATATGGAAAGCAATCAATTATTTGTATTTTATTTGTGTTTTTTTTGTTTTTACATTTAATATCACAATTTCTCATATATAATTTTTAATTTTTTTTTTTTTTGTTTTGTATTTTTTGGGATCTTGAAATATGATTATTATTTATAGGGTATGTACAAGGAGTGGAAAATAAAAACTAATTTACGAGTAGTAGGAAACAAAAGCATCTAAATTTATAGCGTGTCATATTTTATTGCACATTCCAAATAGATTAACCGTGTATCTGTATCTGTAGCTGTGTATCTGTGAGGGGGGATTCGGTTATCATACTACAATATATCATATATATATATATATATATATATATAGGTACCTATTATATTTCTATTTGCATATACCTTAAGTTTTTTTTGCTTTAAATTCGAATTTTGATTTTTTCTACGCCTTCGCTTCAGATACTTCAGAGAGGAGTATCTGTGCGGCTGTTGGAACATGAAACGCTATCAGTCTCTCAATACCAAGCAGTTTTTGGGCTCCATGGCGCCAGGTCTTTAGCTCTGGAACACAAATCGCTTTCGATGCATCTTTGGATACGTTTCATGATCGCCGGCTTTCATTTGTATTGGTTTCTAGCGCGCCCCCAGGATCATAAAAACATTGTTTATGAATTCGCATTCGCATTCCCAAATAATATTTTTTGTGGGCAACAATTTATAAATATAAAAGATTTGTATACACCAGCATCTCGGCCCCTCTCTCTCACTCTCTCTCTCTCTCTTTTTGTTTTTGAGATCATTTGGTTTGCGAGAATCGATTGCATCTTGACTGAATCTGAATCTGGAGCTGGTTCTGGTTCGGTTTCTGGAACAGCCTTCTTCGAGGAAAGTATCTAGACGTCGATCTAGATCTCGATCGTGATCGTGCTGTCTATTTATTCGCGATCAGAGTTCCATTCACTCATCTGTAAAGATAAGAGCAGAGCAAAAAGATTCATAAGTAAAAGGGAAATGATCAGGGTTGTTTTTTGGGGTCTTGGGAGGGGAGGGGAGGGGGTGATAGGTATTGGATGACTAATTGAAGGAAAGAACACTGAAGAAATGGAGTTTGAATGCAAATGTTGTGCTGTTTTGGGGCTGTTTAAAGGGGAAAGATACAACAGAAGTGAGGGGAAAATTAATCCGAAAGTGATGATCGAAAGTTATCAAAAGAAAATGGCCTAAACGCAGCTCTTATGGTGCTCTGAGACTGTTGTCTGAGATGGATTGAGGAGAAAGATACAGAATAAGGGGAAAAATAATCCGAAAGTGATGATCCAACTTGTAAAAAAAAGGTGCTGTTCTGTGTCTGTGATCTGCGATGGTCTTGAACATGATTTAAGGGCAAAGATGCGTAAAAAGTAAGGGGAAGAATTAACCAAAAGTGATGATCAAAATTTATCATCAGAAAATGGCCTGAAGGCAGGCTGTTATGCTGTTCTGTGACTGATATCTGCGATGGTCTTGAAGGAGGCAGATACAAAATAAGTAAGGGGGAAAAATAATCCGAAAGTGATGAAAAATAATCCGAAAGTGATGATCAAAAGTTAAAAGAAATCGTGCTGTTCTGAGTCTGGTATCTTCGATGGTCTTAAACATGACTTAAGGGGGAAGATGCACAAGAATTTAGGGGAAGATTAATCCGAAAGTGATGATCAAAAGTTGCGTTGGTCTTGAAGGAGGAAGAAACAGCAGAATTAAGTGCAAAAATAATCCGAAAGTGATGATCAAGGAATGGATTTTGATCCTCAATCGATAGATCATTGACTGAATCGAGGAGGCTTTGCTCCTGAAACTGTTTGCCAGACTTTTTGGGAGGAAAGACAGCGGATCTTTGATCTGGGTGTGCTTTTGGTGGGGATTGTGGGGATTGGATTGATATTAGAAGACTTACATACTTTACTGCACGATTTCTGAAGGTCTCCTGCTCCATGTCCCGGATCTTGTGTGTCAGCATGTGCTGCTTCAGATTGCCCTGGAAGAGGAACAAGAAGAGAGGAAAGCTTCGGTTAGGTCTCTGCTTGAGGTCTCGGGGGTCTAGCTAACAGTCCGCCCGTAGGACCCACCCCACAAACCCCCAAATGGATGGTGGATGAGCGAGAGAGGGGGAGAGAGAGAGAGCGAGTGCCACTTACCTTGGTGGTGAAGCCGCGATCACAGATGTTGCACTTGAAGGGCCGCTCCTTGGTGTGGCTCCTGTAGTGGATCTCGAGGGCCGAGTGGCAGGGGAATGTCTTGTAGCAGATGCCGCAGGTGGTGCTGCCGCGCACGCCGCTGAGGGCCAGCGGATTGAACGGCGCCGCCGGCATCACCGACTGGGCGATCTGGTTCATCGCGTTGCACATGTTTTGGGTCGTGGAGGGTGGGAAGAGCGGCAGATTGGGGAACATGCCGAAGGGCGGACGGGCGCCCATCAGGGGATTGGGATTGGGCGGACCCGCCGGCCCGACTCCTGCCACATCGCTGCCGCCGCGGGACGGGGGCTGGGGCGAGGTCTGGCGCTGGGCTGCTGCGGCCGCCGCTGCCGCCGCCGCCGCCGCCTTCTGCTGCGCCTCCTGGGCCTCGCGACGCAGCTGCTCCTGGTGCTGGTGCAGGGCGGCCGCGTGCTGCTGCATCTGGTGGTGGTGGTGCTGGGCCGCCGCCGCCGCCGCCACGGCCGCCTGCTGCTGCATGAGGTGCTGGTGCTGCTGCTGCAGGTGGTGCTGCAGCCCCGGGGGCAGGCAGTCGATGGCCACCGACGGGGGCAGGGGCGAGCAGGAGAGCATCGAGGGCGGCGGAGGGGGTCCGTTGGGCGGGCTCCGGGCCGACTGCGGCAGGCCGGGCGGGCTGATGGGCTTCTCCTTGGGCAGCAGCGGCGAGCGGGAGCTGGACGAGGAGGCCGAGGCGGAGGCGGAGGCCGCCGGCGGGGGCTGGGGGGCCGCGCGGGGCGTGAGGTCCAGCGCGCCCTGCGACGCCTCCGAGCGGGCCGGGCTGCTGGCCCGCGTGGACGAGGAGCTCGGCTTGGCGGCCAGGTGCGACTGGGAGGTGGGGCTGGTGGGCGCCGAGGCGGATCCCACGGAGTTGGCGTTGCTGGAGGCGGAGGAGCGGGGCCGGGCGGGCGGATGGGTGTTGACCACGCCCGTGGCGTCGATGCGGAGCTTCTGCTCGAAGAGCAGCGACTTGAAGTCGTCGCCCGAGCGCGGACGCTCCCCGGATCCAGCGCCCTCCTGGTCGAGGTGGCTGTTGGACAGATGCTCCGAGGACACGTCGTCGTCGTAGTCGTCCCCGCAGTCCATGTTGTCCTCCATGTCCCCCTGCGACGACTCCGAGCCGAGGGCTCCGTTGTGCGGCCCGTGGAGGGCTCCTCCGGCGCCCGGGGGGCCGCCCGGTCCGCCCGGTCCGCCCGGCAGGGCGCCAAAGTGGAAGGCGGCCGCCGCAAAGGGATTCATGAAGTGGCCGGGCATCATGGATGGCGGCGGATCGCGGATCTCGGCCGCCTGGATCTGCTCGGGCGTGAGGTCCGTGGGCTCGCCCGTGTGCAGGCGGATGTGCTGCTGCAGGACGAGGGCGTTCGAGTACTTCTTGTGGCAGACGGGGCACTGGTGGAAGTTGCGCATCGGCGGCCGGATCTTGTGCACGGCCATGTGCGTCTTCAGGTTGCCCTTCGTGGTGAAGGCCCGTCCGCAGATGCGGCACTTGAACGGCCGCTCGCCCGTGTGCGTCCGGTAGTGCATCTGGAGGGCGCTCTTGCAGGAGAGCACCCGGTCGCAGACCACGCACTGGTTGGGGTCGCTGATCTTCTTGTTCTTCATCAGCTCCTTGAGCTTCATCGTCTCCGAGGTGTTCGACACCTCGATGAAGTTCTCCCACGAGTTGTCGTTGCTGTGGGGCCGCGGCAGCAGCGCCGCCATCTCGTGCTTGATCGGATTGAAGAAGGGCGAGCGCGCCATGTGGCCGTGGTGCGGATGCCCGTGCGGATGGGGTCCGCCGGCGGCCGGCGAGCGGATGGGGGAGTTGTGCTCCGGCGAGAGCGTCTTTCCGGTCGTGAAATTGAGCGGGAAACGCTCCGCGAAGAAGTCCTCCCGGTGGGGCATGCTCGGCGGCAGCTGGCCGGGCGTGGGCAGGTGGTCCAGGTGCGACTGGGAGCCGGGCGAGGGCTGTGCGTGCATCAGGGCCGGCGGCTGGATGGGCTGCACCACCGGCGGGTAGCCGTGATGGGCGTGGTGGGCGTGGTGGCCGTGGTGGGCGTGGTGGTGGCTGCGATGGTGATTCACGGGCGGGGATCGGACGCGCGGCGAGGGCGTGCGACGCACCTCGAGGTGCTCCTCCTCGGGGTCCTGGGACTGGTGCTGCTCGGACGACTCCTCCTCGAGGCGCTCCTCCTTGATCCGCACCTCCAGGGGCAGGGGCTCCGGCTCGGGCTCCGTCTCCGTCTCCGAGCGATCGTGGGCAGAGGTGTCCTGCTCCTCGTTCGCCTCCTCCTCCTCCTTGTCCTCCTCCATGAGCTCCGTCTTGACGGGCATCTGGCCGGACAGCATCTCCTCGTCCTCCTCCTCCTCCTCCTCCTCCCCCTGGGGGCGGGGCGAACTCGGACCCGAGGACTTGCGCAGATCCGTGGGCATGTCGTGGGAGTGGGCATGGGAGTGCTTCAGGGCGGCGCCCAGGCCCGGCATTTGGGGGAAGAACGGATGCGGACCGCCTGCGGCGGCGCCCAGCGACTTGAGGATCTCCATGGGCGGCCGGTAGAGACCCTGCAGGCCCGGGAAGGCGGGGCTCGAGGCGAACGGCAGGGGCGGCGGGGCGGCAGCGGAGCTCCCGGACGTGGCCGCGGGCGGCGCCGGCGAGTGGGTGGGCGAGCTGTCCGTGGGCGACATCTGGTCGAGCAGCGGCGGATGGAACTTGTCCATGTGCTCCGGAATGGGCGTGGCGTTCATGGGCACGTGCGGGAACTTCTGGGCGTGCCGCTGGAAGTGGACCTTGAGGTTGCCCTTCGTGGTGAAGCGGCTGCCGCAGACGTTGCACTTGAAGGGGCGCTCGCCGGTGTGCGAGCGGATGTGGATCTGCAGGGCGGAGTCGGAGCCGAAGACCTTGCCGCAGTACCGGCAGCGGTGCTTGAAGAACGGCTCGTTGCGGCCCTTGCCCTCGCCGGCCTTGTCGAAGGCGAAGTCGTCGGCCATGTTGTTGGCCAGGATGCCCTGCGAGGCGGAGTCGAGCACCTCCTGGGCGCGCTTCTGCAGCAGGTCCAGCGAGTTGGGCTCCGGCAGGTCGTCGTGGTTCGTGATGATGCTCGAGGCCAGGTCGGAGCCGAACGGCAGCGGCATGTTCTCCATGTCCTTGAGCTTGGCCAGCGCCTCCTGGGCGTTCTCCTTGTGCCGGCCCGCCGCCTCCGAGCTGAGGCGGCGGCTGGTGGGCGGGCGCCTCATGGCCGCGGCAGCAGCGGCAGCCTCCTCCTGCTCCTGCTCCTGTTCTCGGCGGCGCTTCAGGGACTCGGCGGGCGATCCGGAGGACTCCCTGAGGGGCACTCCCGCATTGATCAGATGCTGGCGGGCCTTGGCCTCGGCCATGCGGGCCTCCGCCTTCTGGCGCAGCTCCATGTCGGCAATGCGCTCCTCCTCCTCGTACGTGTCCGTCTCGCCATCGTCGCGCTCCTCTGGCTCCCCATCCGCATCCGCATCGGCATCCCCATCCTCCTCCTGGGCCTCGTCCGTGTCCGTCTGCTTGGCCTGGTTGAGGGCCAGCTGCGACTGCAGCTGCTGGATCAGCTGGATCTGGAAGAGCTGCTGCTGCTGCAGATTGAAGAGCGTCTGCTGCAGGAAGGCCAGCTGCTTCATGGCCGCCTCGTTGTCCGCCCCCGTCGATCCGTTGGCAATCGTCTTGGCCGCAAACTGGGCAATGGCCATCTGCATGTTCTGGATGGCCTCCAGGGTCACAGGTGTGGCCCCCACAGCCTCTCCTGCCGCCGTCCTTGTCTCTGGCATCTCCACATCCACTTCGATGTCCTTCTCGGGGGCCACTGCCGCCGGACTGGCCGCCGTGGCCGCCTCTTCGGTGTTGGTCAGGGCCAGCGGTGACTGCGGCCTCGAGTGGGCCTCCGGCTCGGAGTCCGGCTTTGTCATGACCAGCACCTTGTTGTTGTTGTCCTCGATGGTCTCCGAGTGTTTCAGCTGCTGCTCCTGATCCTCCTCGGGCTCGGGACTGCGGCTGGGACTGGCCGTGGTCGTGGCAGTGGCCGTGGTCAGCGGCGAGCAGGCTCCATTCTCCTCCTGATCGCTGCCAGTGTCTGCAAGAAAAAGAAGAGCAACAAAGAGTGGAAGTCAAGCTTGAGTTTCTATGGAAAGACCTTCCTTCTACGTGTATGGCCATGCCCCCTCCTGCCCCCCTCTCTATCCCTCTTCTTATGGCATATATGACTTAATCGCCTGCCACGAATGTGGCAACCCCCCCCCCCCCTCTGCCACCCTCTGCCCCTCTATTTGTGGCCACAATTAGTCTTCCCGTCGATCGCCACTTGTTGCCATCGAGAGAAAGCAGTTGACAGCCTGCTTTTGGGCCTGAATCAGAAAAAAGAGGCGCAATCTATGTGAAAAATAACTCATGTTTTGCAGCAGAAAAGACTGTGGGGGCCCGGGCCCCCCCCTAAGAAACAGTTGTCTGGCGAAATCTCTTTAATTAACAGCCAAAACCCAGTCACAGATTGGACCCAAAACAAAAAACCAGCAAAAACCCAGCAAAAGCCCAAATAAAAAATCAACTTTTGCCGCACACGCACATAAAATATAATTTATGATAAATCCAGAGAGCCGAACCAGTCCCCCCCCCCAGTCCCCTATGGCTATACGGTATATAATAAAACATATTTCTGCACAGAAAATCAAACGAGTTGAGCGAGTTTCTGTTTCTGTTTCTGCCACAAAAGATACACAGATACAAAGCCAGAGATGGAGAGGGAAGAAGAGAGAGGGAGGTGGAGGGAAAGGCCTGCCTGCCTATCAGCGCCATTTGCATATCGATCGCAAAAGATACATTTATTTTTACCGGGAATTCTTATTTATATTTTTTGTTATTTTTATTTTTTATTTTTGTTTCTGCAATTGCATTTTTTTTTGCAAGTTCAAAAACGAAACCGCTTCGAGGCGGTGAGGAGTTATGATTATGATTGTCGATAACTGAAGTGTATTTTAATTAATTGAAATTAATTATAATGTTAACGATAAACATTTCAAAACAGCGGCGGCAAATAAAAAAAACAACTGGCAATTATGACGGACATAAAATTGTCTCGAACATGGTTAAGTCATTTTGCAATTGGTAATAAAATTGTTAAATTTACAATAACAATAAACGGGTAAGGGGGGGTGCTGGTGGGGGCCTCGTTAGAGGCCAATGCCTTAGCCCCCCATTTTTAGTTTTTGTTGTTTTTGTAGTTCCTCTGACGCGTGGGCGTCCAAAAAGCATTTAACCAAAATCTATATATATATCCCCCAATCGATTGGCGGCTGCCACTGTGCCTCTGACAACTGTTGGCTCTCTAGATGTATCTGGTATCTCGCAGATAAATAAATATGAAATTGTGAAACGGCCAGGAAATTATATTTCCCATTGTTATAGCCGATCTGTGTGTGTGTGTATACATATATATATAAATTAAATTGTACAAGTTTAAAGGTGGATTAAGTCAGGCCATAAATCGCTTGTGCGTCTGTTTCGCTAAATTCGAATGAATTACGGATATGCGCATGTGAAGCGAATAAATCCTGGCCCCACAAATATTCATAATTACCGCAAAAACCCCACATTAGCCAATGTCAACTTTTTTGGCACATATTTTCAACAGAATTTCGTTTTCTTTTTTTGCCAGTTTTTAACCACCTCCGAGTAGGGTATTTCCCTTTGATTTGAGTCCACCAAACCCTCCGATTGACTTGGACTTTTGTTCTGGACTGATTTTTCAATTATTCCATCGTCATATTCAATATGCAAATCGCCTCGAAACCCCACCGCGAGCGATGGCCTGAGGTGAAACAAATGTTCAGCCAATTGGAAAATGCAAAAAAAAAAAACCAAAACCAAATCGAAACCCAAAAGGAAACACCATAAAAATGTATGCAAAAGTACGGCCAGAGAACAACAGAGTGGCGGCATAATTGAATAATATATATCGTATATATAGCCCGACCAGAGCCCAGAGGTTGGGAAGAAGTCGCGGCTTCCAATTGAATTTCATGTCGAAGTTTTAGGCATAAATATTTGATTTTCCCCCCTGGAGCAGCACTGGAACTTTGGAGCCCGAGACCCGAGACCCAGCAAAATCGAATAAATAAAAATAATTAAATAATTAATGTCATTAAGTTATGCGAGCGCGACTTCGATTCGATTACAAAACAAGAGCAGGGGACAACACAAACAACAAAAAAATATAGCAAAATAAATAAATTGATGAGCATTTCCATATGCCATATGGCGTGTACATAAAGGGATCTGTGCATATATATATATGTACTCCAAATAAATCATATGGAAATGAGCCTCAGCTCTCTGCCTTTCTGCTTCGATTTTCATTTTTTTGCGATATTAATTTAATTTTTTATCCCACACCGCACCTCACTAATGAGTTAACATTTATTAATGCCCATCGCTATATACATATAGTATATATATATATATATACCCATTCATATGCGGTGTATAAATAAAAAACCGAATCCATAAGGAAAAAATGTTTATCACCTTTTTAAAGCTTATGGGCAGCAATTTTCCAAATTTAATGGCAACTCATTTGTAATTATGGAAACACATATACAGCATACAATACACATACATAAAAGCACGTGTGTGTGTGGGTATATGCTGGTTTTTATGTACAACTTTTCCCTGATTAGTTTTCATTATAGCAACAAATAAAATATGATACAAAAATTGTGTGCCATTTATGTGGAAAACTGTCTTTAAAATATTTATATTAAAAAATAGATTCATAAAAATTGGAATCTTGAATTTTCGGTTAAGGAAATGTCTATTTTATTTCTATTTTATTTGAAAAAATTTCCATGTTTTCTAATTTTTTGGACTTTGTTGAAAATGTCTATTTTATTCGAAATATTTTCTATGTTTTCCTCCTATTTGGACTTTGATGGAAATGCCTATTTTATTTATATTTTATTTGAAATAATTTTTATGTTTTTGTATTCTCTGGACTTTGGACAATTCAAACAAATTTTCTAAGCAAAGAAATATTTCATTGGAATATTTTTTAGCATATTTCGGGCTCTTTTTTTACATTTTTTCCCCTCAAATATATTTATTTATTTACTTATTAAATTGATTTATTTTTGCATAATTTTCATTCGCTGAATGAAATATTTTTGTTTTCGGCAAATAGAAATTTCAATATAAATATTTAATTTATAATTTTCTCACAATGCAACAATTAGAAAGTTGTTTCTTACCATTGGAAAATATATACAAATAATTTAAAAGCCAACCATTTCGGCGGCCTAACTGAACCATTTAAACTTAATTAACAAATTTGTCATTTTTCCCTTTTGTTTTTGTGTTTAAATTATGTGTTTTTTCTGGTTTTTCGGGCCTTAACTGTTTTTCCATTTGCCCTGATAAGACCCCCAAAAAGAGGGCCACCAACATTAATAATTTTGAGAGTGGGCTGCAGTGGTGGAAATATTAAGTTTAAATTTAAATTTAAATGCTGCACAAATCTATGTGGTCTGATGATTATGTTACGCACTGTCTGGTTGCTCGGGTATATAAATTATATTTTGCATTTCCAGTTTTTGGTTTCATCTGCTATTGGCTTTGGGTCTCCCTGCCCCACGCTGCACGATCTCGTTTTTTATGATAAATCAAAAATCAATTTCGTTTTAATGGACCGTCTTAAAAACGATATGATTTAAATATGGCTTCGGCTCCACTTTTGGGAAAGGCACAGAAAAATGTTTCGATATTTTGGAGGCCTCTCGGCAGGCGCGTTTCCTTAATTGGTTTTGAAAGCTTTGGCTTCCATTTGCATATATCTGCCTCTCCGGTTTATTATATTTATTTAAAGTGTTTTTTGCTTTGATGAAATCCAAGTCCATCAAATTATGACAGGGCACAAAATAAACGGGAAATATAGAGGCCCATTCATCGATAAATAGGGGGGAAATAAGACCAGCAAGATCTCGAATATTTTGGGCATAAAACAGAAGTCTTAGGAGACGAGCAAACCGAGTAACAGCCAGGGCTCAGACCCACCAAGAGGTCCTTCAAAGACAGCTCTTTCTGCACCACAAATATATAAGAATTTCTATAAAATTCTAAACAATTTCTGGCAGCCTATAAGCCCTATTTTTCCACCAACTTTATACTTAATTTAAATTGTTATTTCTGCTCACCTTTGTCGGCGCTTCGAGCGCGATCCTTCAGCTGTTTGACAATGCCATATTTCACTGTGCCAAATTGTATCATTTTATTGATGGTCTCCTGGTGATTATCCTTGAAGTCACTACGCATTGCACACAGCACGTTGGACAGGTGATTTTTCATCAAGAGAACTTTTGTTGACCGTTAACTGCTAAGCACTTTCGCTCCCTCTCCCTCTCTACTTTCTCTTTCTCTTTGTATCCTTTGTTTCTTGATTTTGTTAACTTTTGATCATTGCACTGTTTTTGTTTTGTTTTGGTGGGGTTTGAGGGTCATGGAAGGGGGGTGGGGGGACTCTAATATTTTGATCTCGCCCAGGACGGGGGGGATCTCGGCGGCTGTTCGTTTGTCATGCGCGCAGGACGACCCGCTCCATGTCCACCGTTACACCGTTATCGCGATCGTTGCACCGTTACACCGTTAAACCGTTCAACCGCTGAATGAACCGCGTTCTTTGGATCACTTTATCGTTTTGCCGTCGGCGGAATGAATGCAGACCGCCTTGCCGCTGGCTCTGCTGCTGCTTCGCTCTCGCTCGCTCGCTCGCTCTCTCTGGCCGATCGCTGATCTAAAGCTGCCCGGGCACTGTCATCGCTGGATAGATGGATGGATGGATGGATGGATGGTCAGCGCACTGCACTACGCGTTCGAGGGTTTGTGTGTGTGTTTTGCGGGCGGGGGGGGCGAAAATGGGAAATAACTCTACGCGATTCACGCGTCACGCATACGCAACGTTGCTCTCGGATTCTAGCGCTGTCGCTGTCGCTGTCGTTGGCTGCTGCTGCTGCGAACGAACGTATCTTTGTATCTGAGCGGTTGTTGCTCGTTCGATGTGGCGCGTCGAACTGACACAAACAATAACCGCCGCACGACCAGACGGCCATCGGTGGCTCGGCTCGGCTGTTCGGCTCCCGGTTCGGCTCTCGCGGCGACCGGTTTTCGTGACACCAACACCAGCAGCATTACATGCGCGCGCTCTCTCTCTCTCTCTTTCTCTCCCTCCCTCTGTGTTACAGCGGCCGCACATCCTGACAATCATTCAACCAACCCACCGCACACACACTCGGACGGTGGCGGCTCCCTCTCCCTCTCTCTCGCATTTCAATATGCAATATGCTCTCCCTCTCACATTTCATATAATTTTTCATATGCGCTCGCTCTCTCACACACACACACACACAGACGGCGCGCGCGTTTTCCCTCTCATCATAATTTTTATTAAATTGCGCTATCTCGCTCGCACCCGCTGTCGGGCCTTCGGCTAACTGTTACTGTTACTGTTGCCATCGACCTCTTGCCCGTGGCCGCGCAGCGGCAGCAGCAGCAGCCCCTCTCACTCTCACACACACTCGCACTCACACCCTGGCGTTTCGCTCGGGATGCGAGATGCTCAGTCGCAGTCGCTGCGTCGACGTCGCTGCCGCTGCAGCGCTTACCTGTGGGACAGTGGGACATTTATGAAACTTGTTCGAAAAATTATGAGCCACACACACGCACACAGGCACACAAGGAGAAGACACACGAAGGAGCAGGCGAGAGCACGACTTCCTTCCGGCCTGAGAGGCTCCCTGCTTGTCTCTCTCTCTCTCTTGCTATGGCCCTCTCGCTCGCACTTTGATTAATAATTTATCATAATTCATACAAAGCCCCCCCTCCCCCCCCAGACCCCATACAATCACCTTCTCCGACAGCATAGGCCAGCCTGCTCGCACTCAGGCCTGCGCGCCTGCCATTTGTTGCGCGAGCTCTCTCGCTCTCGCTCGCTCTCTCTCTGCCTCGGGTCTCTCTCTCGCTCTTGCCATCCCTCTCTGTTGCTCGCTTTGGCGCAGTTATGAGCGCCCCCCCTTATTTTTGTTGCTTTTTTAATTTCGGTTTTATAAGATTTTCTACAGTTCTTTGCTATTGTTCGTATCGCCCCCCTCCCACCCGCACCTCCAAGCCGCCCCCCGCTCCAATTTTCGATGACTTCGCTTATTCGTCAGTCGTGCATGACGTGCACATGTGTGTGTGTGTGTGTGCCTGTGTGTGTGTGAGTATTCGTTGAATATTATGAGCCATTCATCAAATTGGTTTTTTTTTTCTGTTTCGTTTTTTTTTTGTGTTGTTTCTTTCGACTTTTTGGGCAACTCCCACTTCTTTAATTATTTTCTTATTGCTTATGCTCGCTCTCTCTCTCTCTGTGCCTCCTCTCTTTCCCGCAAAGACCTGTGGGAGCTGGGCTCTAGATGGGGGCATTTTTCGTACCTGCTCCACAAATGGGCCCCGAAAGAAACACCTGGCGATAAAAATTAAAATCCCTTTCGAAACATATGACAATTGAGTTATGATTAATCGAATGGGTATGAATTGTTTCTGGTTCTGATTAATCCAACAATCAAAAGCAATTAAAGACCTTCAAAAATTACAAAGCAATTCTTTGGCTAAAAACAGATGTTAATCCATGGATGATGGAGGGAAAGGAATGTTTTTTTTTGGGTAAAACAGAACATATTCAAGCAAGAGGTTTATTATATAACAAATTAGTAAGTTTTAATGCACCTTTAATCTGTGAATGTTAAGGATAATTGGGCTTTAAGCGAGTAATTATGAAATCTGCTGAAGTTGGGAAATAATCCTATAGCTTTAAGGGCTCTAAAAGAACTTCCCATATGGATAAATATTTATGAAGTTTCTATACATATTTTCGATTTATATTCTAGAAATTCTTAGTCCAAATGGGGCTTCCAGGGCGGGCAAAGAATTCTCTAACTTATCGACTGGCTTCCTTGGGCCAATAGGAAAAAAACCCGTAATAAATACGAATGGAAAAAGGAGTACAACTAAGCATTAATAAAGCTTTCCAAGCTGACGGCTCGCTGCCTTTGCTCCTGGCAGCGCTGTCATAAATTGTAACGGCAGTGGAAGAGGGGAAGAGAGAGAGAGGGAGAGTCGTAGAGATTGCAGAAAATAGAAGAGCAAAGCAACAGAAAGATAGAAACAAACACTAAAAGTAGGGAGAGCACAAAAAATAGCAGTAAAGCCAAAGAAACAATGAAAAAAAGAAGAAAGAAAAAAACTGTGAGCTGGAAAAAAAGTCGAAAGCCAATCTCCGTGCCACCTTGCGCACCAGTAAGAAAGCAGAGCAGCGGCAGAGCGGAAGCGCAGCGAACGGTCACGAGGGAGCGGGAACACCGCCTCCATTTCCAGCCACTGTGTGTGTGTGTGTGTATGCGATGGGGTTTGTTTATGTACAAGCCAAATACATAATTCATAACGCTCATATTCGCTCATTTTGCGCCGTCGCCGTCGCCGTGGCGTCAGCGCCGACCAACGGCAAGACAGGGATTGCCGCAGCGGCAGCGGCAGCGGCAGCCCTTTTCATATCTGCGCTGCCATCAAAACACACACACACACAGCCGCACACAGACGCAGCGACGACGGCAGCAGCAGACAAGTTTTTGATAGACTCTCATAATCATAACGAAAACAACAACGCGCCGCTCTTCGCCTCTCGCTCTTTGGATTCTTACAGGTTGCCTGACTCGCGCTCTCTCTCTCTCTTTCGCACACGCGCGCGCTTGTGTATGCCGCTGCTCTCTGCCGCTCATTTCTGTCTATTTCTGTCGCACTCTCTGTCTCTCAGTGTCTGTTAACTGCAGCACTCGCTCTCGGCAACTCTTATACGCCTTAACAGTCTTCGATTCTGTGCAAAGAGGGGCATCAACAGGCATGTTAGGGCCTGCAACAGAGGCAGCTCTGTTATGGCCATGCAGATTACTTGCGGGGAGTGGGGGGCGGGCTAACATCGTTAAACGCCCAAGATGGTCGCGATATGGGGGTCCGAGACTATGCATGAATTCTCAAAATCCATTAGCTTCATAGCCATAAAACAATAGAGCGAATATCTTTCATATTTGATTCGCTAAATCTCTTAATTAAGGCGAGAAATCATTCAACGAAAATTCCACATAAAAGCAATCTGTTTAAAGCTGGTTCTGAATGACTCCACCTCCAAGGCAGAGCCAATTCTTGAATAGAAATATTGCTCAAATAAAGCCTATAAAATATACATATAATATTTATGGTCCCTAAATCAGAAAGCCTTGATTTCCTTCAGGGCTCGATAGATCTTTATCCTTGAAGTTTTCCGATTGGCTCTCGTTGGCTGGCATTTTTGAATCAGTTTCGAATCACCCTTTCAATTATTCATTGCCATCGATCGCCGCCAGTCGCCACGAATACACAAAAAATCAAAAATGCAATCGGTTTTTGGTTTTGGTTTTCGTTCGGGTCTTGTCACCCCAGTTCTGATACCCTTTGCCCCTTATCTCCGTTGGATAATCTGAAAACCAAATTTCAATATCGTCGGTCCCTTTGGTGGCCCTAATTTAAAATCCAAAACGAAAACAACAGCAAAGAAAGTAAAAACGAAATTGAATGCAACTGAAATAAAATAAAATAAAATAAAAAACGGAATTACTTCCGTTGGCCTGTGGGTCGGTTTCCTCGGGCAGATTTATGAGGGAACGCACTCAGAGCTAAGAGACGAGACGAGACGTGGCGGTCCTGGCCAGGCGGTGGCCTCAAAGTCCCCCGAGGGCGGGCAGGAAAAGCGGGAAAATGCATCGAGCATTCGTAATGCCACAATTATTGGAGTCACTGGCGGGGCACATACTCCGGCGATTTCCGAGCTGCAGGCACGTTCCTTTGCGTTCGTGTCCTGCCAAAGGATTCAACAGGATTCGGCCGTTTGTTCTGGCCGCTCGCGCTTTTCACACTTGTCATAAAAATTACAGCAGTCCCAGGCCTGTCTTTCCATGGAATATGCACAACGATATATGGATATGCGAAGAGCCTGAGAGATGGTGCTGGGCTCTGTGATCGGAGGATCCCTGAGGATCGGCAAGGATAGGAAGATATTTCTGTTTCTGTTGGGAATTTTCTAAATATTTTTACACATCTCAAAGCATTTTTAATGGTGTTGGATTGCTTTTTAAAGCACATTCCACATACCATCCATGACCCTGAGAGGAGTACCCCCTGTTCTAATCACGCGTTCATCTCCAACTCCGCGCCTGCGTGGCCACTCCGCGTTGCAAGTAGCTGGTGGAGGCGGCTACGTGATCGAAAAGTTAGGTGGGAAGGGGGGGGCCTTCGTGCTGGGGTGCGTTTTATGGCTTGGATCGAGCTACCGTTTTGGAATTTTAACAAAATTTGAACAAAATTTTATTTGATTTTAATGTTGAACATTTTTGCCGCCTTTGCCACTCCCCCCTCCCCTCCCCTTCACTTTGTCTAATCACGGATTCAAGAGCCGTTCGACTGAGAAATTTTCTATCAAAATGCGAACTCATTTAAATCGCCTCGAAAACGTTTGATGTTTGGTTTATGAGCCTCGGACTCCAGGCCTCGTAAACGGAATTATGGTCGGTATATGCAGGTTCTGAAGTTTCCAAGATTGGACCGGAGATTAGTTTATAAGAAAACGGAATGGGGGAATTTTTTAGACGTAGTTTTACGAATTTTTGATATATTTTATAAAAGATGTCCACCTTAATGCAATGCAAGAATTAACTCTGGCAACTCACATGTCAATCACTCTCCATCGAGGCGGTAGTCGAATGCTGATTGGAAGATCATAAATCTCTCGAAACGGGGTGGACATCGGGCCAATAAAAATACAGAAAACACATTTATGGAGTCCTTTAATATACTCAGAAAAAGAGCTGAAGTCTCCCCGAAGAGAGAGAGAGAGATCAACGTAAGTTTTACAGCTCTGGGAGTCGATAAAGATTTTTATAGAGCGACATTTAAATATGCCCCGGACATTGGGCCTGGGCCAGGGCCA